CCCCCTCCCCCAGCCATTCCATGGCCCTCGCTCATCTTAACATAGCCGGGCCCCCCCCACATTCACGTGCCCGCCAGCCATACCCGGGCCCGACCCCACACACTCCCTCACCTAAACCCAGACTCTGCCCCGCACATTCACACTGCTCATTTCCTGGCTCTGCCCCACATACTCCCTCTCTAAGCAAAACCCAGACCTTAGGCCACACACTCACAGGTCCCCAGCCATACCCTGCCCCACACACTTCCTCCCTCATCTAAACCCAGATCCTAAGCCACTCATTTACATGCCCCCCAGCCATACTGGGGCCCTTCCCAACACACTCCCTAAACCCAAACCCTGCCCCACACACTTCCTCCCTCATCTAAACCCAGACTCTGCCCCACACATTCACACACGCCGTTCTCTGTCCCTGCTCCACATGCTCCCTCTGGGTCCATGCCTGTTTCAGTGAGTTATCCCCCATTTTCATTTGCCATCCTTAACTGTATAATACTTTTGCCATTTTGCTATCTTTTCATACGTCCTCCACCCTTATTGCTATATGCATTTTCAGTCTCTTTCCTTTCTCCAAAAGTATCTCCTGTATCTTTCATCTCTCAACCAATTATGGTTGGCTAAGACCATATTCAAAAACTAGTCATCAGTGATTTGCTGTCAGACTGAGAGGATGCAATACTGCAGCAGCAGCCAGAGCCTCAAACCTTTAAATCACCCTTACCACATGGTCTGGGTGACACTGATGGGCTGGTGGGGGAAGTCCAGACCTCCAGCCCTGCCCCTTTTGTCCAAGGCTCCTCCCCTTCTGGTAGTGCAGAGTTTTCCTCACACACATACCTTGCCCAGGGGCCTGACAATTCTGTCAGCCCCCCTGAGTACTGCTGAAAAGATTCTATGTATCAGATCACAGACTGAATGAGTTACCCGTGTGAGGCAGATATAGTCTCTGGAGTACATTAACAGGAGTGTTGGATGTAAGATAGAGGAGATAACTGACCAGCTCAACTTGGCACTGGTGAGGCCAAGAATTAGGTAGTTAACCTGTGTAAGTGCTTTTGTAAATACCAGAGAAGCCTCTTTGCTTCTGGATAACTTCTGTTTGCCACACTGGCAAGCAAGAAGTTGTACAAGCAATTCCTTTCAGACACTCCAGTTCTCCTTATGAAAACCAATCCCACCAAATCAAAACAGATCCTTCTGATCCAAAAGGATCAGCCATATTCCCAGGTCAATTTATAACTCAGATCTGGAATGCATCCAGTGTTTCTTAGCCAGGGGTCCAGATCATAAAGATGTAATTGATGTAGCATAAGTAGAGAATGGGTAAAAGGACACCATGGTACAAATCACCAATGGTAAATTAGACACCACTCTCTACAGAAAACCCACGGACACATACAGTTACCTACATGTTTCCAGCTCCCATCCAGAACACACCATACAATCCATCATCTATAGCCAAGTCCTTCGATACAACCGCATCTGCTCTAATCCCACTGACAGAGACTAGAAACTTCAGGATCTCTACCAAGCATTTATAAACCTCAACTACCCACCAGGAGAAATAAAAAAGCAAATTGAAAGAGCCAGACGAATACCTAGAAACCATCTACTACAAGACAGACCCAAGAAAACCAACAATAGAACACCACTTGTCATCACCTATAGCCCCCAACTTAAACCCATCCAACACATTATCAATAAACTACAACCTATACTGGAACAGGATACTACACTCTGAGAGGCTCTGGGAGACAGACCCATAGTCTCCTATAGACAACCACCTAACCTCAGGATGATCCTTACCAACAACCATAGGACATACCACACTAATACCAACCCTGGAACTTTCCCTTGCAACAAACCCCATTGCCAGCTTTGTCCACATATTTACTCTGCTGACACCATCATTGGACCTAACCATGTCAATTATAAGATCAAGAACACATATTCCTGCTCATCCAGAAATACAATTTATGCTATCATGTGCCGACAGTGTCCGTCTGCTATGTACATTGGACAAACATCTCAGACACTTCACCAAAGAATCAATGCACATAAAATTGATATCAGACAGTTTCACAAAGAAAAAACAGTTTCTTGCCACTTCAACCAGAAAGAGCATTGTCTCAATGACTTGACTACCTGCATCCTGCTTCAAAGACATTTTAAC